TTGTTGGAGGTCAAACCTCTTGCAAGTCCCCCGAGATCGCCGCTTTCGAGGCTCACCTCCCCGCCGACGTCGATATCATCTCTTGCCACTCACTTCATGGCCCCAATGTTGATCCGTATAACCAGCCCCTTGTGCTCATCCAACACCGCGCCCCAGATTCAGCCCTTCGAAAGGTTGAGACTGTCCTCAGCTGTCTCCGCTCAAAGTTCGTCCATCTCTCAGCCCGCGAGCACGATCGTATCACCGCCGATACTCAAGCAGTCACCCATGCAGCCTTCTTATCTATGGGCAAGGCGTGGCACGCTAACAAGCAATTTCCCTGGGAGCTGAGCCGATATGTTGGCGGTATTGAGAATGTCAAGGTCAATCTGATGTTGCGCATCTACAGCCAGAAGTGGCATGTGTACGCTGGTCTTGCTATTCTCAACCCTGAAGCGAGTGAACAAATCTCCCAATATGCACGAAGCGTTACCGATTTGTACAAACTCATGCTCGAAGGCAACCGTGAGGGCTTCAGAGAACGAGTCTACCGTGCACGCGACAAGGTTTTTGGTCCATCCACATCCTGGGACACAGGTCCATTGCTTGAGCCGTCAGTCCTGTCGTCCTTCTCGCTCGGTAAGCCTACTGATGAGCCTCGACCCAACAATCATCTCTCGATCCTTGCAATGGTCGACTGCTGGGCGGCGCTCAACATTGTGCCCTATGATCATATGCTCTGCAGCACTCCTCTCTTCCGCTTGCGCCTTGGTGTCACTGAATACCTGTTCCGCAACGAAGATATCCTCGATGCAGCCATTGAGACTGCAATTGAGGATAAGACGTACCGTAGCGATGATCTGGAGTTCACTTTTGCAGCACGGGCCTGGGCCGAGTGTGTGAACCTGGGACATTTTGAGACATGGGAGAAGCGGTTCGTGAGTACTCAGCAGTTCTTTGAACCACGATTTGAGGAGGCCAAGGTGGTGGGTAATCAAATGATGAAGAAGATATTGGAGAATTCCAAGGATAATTAGTAGAGATGGACCAACCATAGGTTAACAAGAGAATTATACTCCCACAGAAGCAAATGTTCCAAGACTCTAGACAAAGCCTGACTCGACCAAGTATCAACCAGTCCGACAACCTCTCAAAACGCCGCAAAGCCCCAAACCAGCTTTAAGTGCACCGCCGAGTCTCGCAACCTCACTGGTTTCCCAAGCACACGCTTTTCATAACCATCAACCTTACACTTGGGTTACCACATCGGGAACTCTAGCCTCAATGCTCTCCTCTGTCATCGCAACACCATGGTCAGCTCCGAGTGACATGGGCGATGGTTCTCCACTGTTGCTTTCATTCCCAGTCCCTGAAGACTTGACATTGGAAGTATCGCTAAGGGAGGAGGTGGTTGTAGAAACAGCATTTTCAGCGCCACCAAAAAGACTCCATGAATATCCTTCAAGAGGAAGGATGTTAGACGTACTAGACAACAGTTGGTCAGTCAGACGGCGACGTGCGGATCTCGGACCAGGAGTAGTGGGACTGCGCCGCCTTAGTTAGTAAGGCCGGCTTAAAACATCACTATGAAACTTACTGGGGAATCCGTGTGGCGCGCGCTCTCTGTCGTGGGTGTTGACCGTGTGTTCGACTCTCTTCATGCTCGTCGGGTGCTTGGAAAGTTTCCAGCCATGGCCAAGGGTTTCCCAGTAAGTCAGGAGTCGATGCAATAGCCTCCGCATCACCTTGAGCGGCGTCGGTTAAGGCCTTCTCCTCGTCGCACATACGTTGCCTTTTTGCAGCAACGTTCTTAACAGTAGGCAACCGTCGTGCTCCGCTGAGTCCAGAGAATGTACCCCTAAGCCCGTTCCGAAAAGGTTGGTTCTGATTGTGGCTTATGAGCATACGGGCAATCTGCTCGTCAAGCAGTTCCATCATTCGACGATGACCGATCTGAGGCTGGATGCATTGGTCAATAATCTGTCATTGATGGCCAAGGGCCTAGACTCACTCTTGGCCGGTGCTCGTCAATATGACTAACAACATCTTTGTCAATGACTGGCCTGCCGCCTAAAGACTCGAACCCAAAACCGACAGCAGCTGTTGGAGTGATCTCGCCATTGGCGACTGCATTGAGGCTCAAAAACGCCCGATCAACACACACAGGGCGGCACCTTTGGCAGATCTTGTACTGGCAAAGGGCATCTTCATCAAGGGTCCGTTGTCCGTTGTCATTGAAAGAAGACTCGAAGCCTAGGGGTGGGAGAAGATTGTTAAACAGAGCCGAGCTGCTTTTTTGTCGTTCCTCCTTTGCGATAACATCCTTTAACTACCGTAGATATTAGTATATCTCCAGGGTTACAGGAAGCTATTGTAGCCTTACTTCCTCTCGCTGTCTTAAGATAGTCGCAATTTGATCTGGTCGGTAGGAGGCCATCTGCTTGGGAGTGAGTTCTTTAAGAAAGCTAAGTTTGTCCCGTCGAGCCTCTGCGCTGCCTTTTCGAACAACCATGTTCTTGCGAAAGCTGAAATCCAAGTAGTCCATGCATGGCTGCTCTCCAGTTAGCTACCGATCTATGCTAGATGTTGCTATTCAATGGAAGGCCTCTCACCAGTTTCTCCTCAATCATCTTCTCATGATCCTGTGTACACTGGTAGAGCCACCCAAACTGACCGGGCTCATGACAAGAGGAACATTTAGAGTCCGCGTCGTAAATCCGGGTCATGGTGAGATGCGTGCATGTTGGTTTATATGGTTGCTGCTGCATTAGCCGTGGTGGTAGAGACGCCATTGTCATGCTGGAAAGGCCAGAATCGGGGAAAATGCTCTGAAGGTGCATTCGACCAAACACTTGAGCACATAGAGAGGACGACAAGGTTTCGAGTAAAGGATCCCGAGTCAAGTCGTAAGAGGCTGATTGACTATAAGCGATGCCGTGTATAAAGTTGCTTCATGATATTGACGAGGTTACCAGGGAGGGGAACGAGAGGGGCTCAAGGGAAAATTGCCTTTAATCCAAATGAAATACGGAAAGGGAAGTTTCTTTTTACTTTCATGCTGAAGAAGTTTGGCTCGTCGTCATGGCCAGCTGCCATGGCATGAGTGTGGGCAAGTGCGAGGCAAGTGGCAGCTGCCTGCCAACCGCCAGGCCATCACCATTAGAACAAACTCTTCTTTATAGGTACCTTTCCCAGAGGAAGGCATCAGTCTTCAGCTTTCAAGAAGGAGACCGTTGCAGTGAAGCGTGCCCTTAGGATGCAGTCAAAGTTTGTTACTACTTAAAATAAAGTTGGTTCACCTAGACTTTCAGCATGTCGTCCTAATGGACATCAGTTTGTTTCACTTCAAGGCTGTAATCTTTGTCATCAAGTCACAGTTTCCTCAACGCAGCATTGTCTTATTGAAGATGTGGCGGAGTGTGTTAATGAAATTGTTTGCGAACAAAGTCTCCAAGCATTCATCTTTCATGATCCTGATTGTGCCCAAGAGCCGGGGAAGATACCCACAGGGCTGTCTAGCCTCGCGGATTATTACAATCAACCCGGACCTGCGCAGTTAACGACATCATGATCAATATTCACTGTAGAAATGATACGGTCGATATTTCGAGGGCATTGGGGAAGCAGATGGGGCCCTCAAAGGGAGTCTTGTTTATTATCATGGTCTCATCCACAATTCACAATATGTTCACCCACGCCTCCATCAGACCTCATCGGTTTCGAGTGGAGCTAGACATATATTCCATGTCACTTCCGACTCAAAGAGATTCTACTGCTCAAGCGGTTGATGCCAGATATCATTGTCGTTCAACGGCGCGTTTTTATTCTCTAGCATGCCATGGAGCTATGTGCCAGAACCGCAAGTAACGCAAACCCCTTTCCGATGCATAACCGTAAAGCAGCCCAAAAACCGATCCATTTCCTTTTAAACCTCGGTGGTAACCTTCGCCTTGGGGTTGGTGACCTTGACACCCAGTTGCTTGGCGCGGGCAATGATGTCAACTCGCTTCCTCGACGAGACGTTGTGGGCAATCCTGAAAATTTGGTTAGCTACAGTTGGTCGAGTGAAATTGGAGGGAGAGCGTACTCGGCAGCGTGGGTTCGGTTGTGCATAAGGAGAAGCTCGACATCGTTGACGTTGCTGACGAGGAAAGCCTTGTGGCCGGAGGGGGTCATGTAGCGGGTCTTCTTGTTGGAGCCATAGCCGATCTGAAGTCATACAGTATTAGTACAAAGTTCTGCGTCCCGCCTGATAGAAAGTCGATATTTCATCAAGGCCTCGCCAAGGTTCGACATACAGAGGGCATGGCAATGGTGCCGCGGAATCGTCGTCGGACACGGCTGTCGATACCCTTAGGCTTGCGCCAGCTGGGGTCGACACACTTGAAGCGATCACTCTGGTGACGCTCGAAGCGCTTCGTGCCTGCACACACAAGTCAGCATTTGGACTCCCACTCGTTTCTCCTTGGTTCGCTCGTGTTGTCGCAAAGGAAAGTCGATTTTACGTACGCTTCTTGACGATCTTGACGTGCTTAGCGGCAACCATTCTGTAATATGTCAATAAAGCGTTTTGGTTGATGATAGATGTGGTTTGCTGACCTGACGACTGCACAGGGGACGGTTAGTAGAACGTTGAACTTCGGCTGTGAGTTGTTAGACGCACGAAAATTTGTCAAGGTGGGCAGGTCCAGCTCACAATGCTCGTAGTGTTCACGTGCAGTGCCCTAACGAGGGTCTATGAGGTTGGAGAAATGTGAGTTTGCCGTGAAAAAAGAGCGTGCAAGTCTTACTCTGAAGAGGACTAAGTCCGTTCGTGTAATTTTGTCTACGAGGACTAATTTTCTTGTAGCCCTGGCCTGTGGGTGGGTCTTCTCTTTTGGAAATTCTTAGTGGGCGAAAACTGCACGGTCCCACTCGGCACTAGCGCTTCCACCAAGAGACAGAATCTGAACTCCCACCGAAATATCACCACGCTTTCAACCTCCGCCCGCTGCCCAACGACAACACCACGACCAGCAATCATGTCTACTCAATCCGTGCAGTGTTTTGGTAAAAAGAAGACCGCCACGGCCGTTGCTCACTGCAAGGTTAGCGAAATTCCCTGTAAAAAGACGTGAGATTGAGCCAGAGGAGCTGACATGACATGAAATTTCCAGGCTGGCCGCGGTCTCATCAAGGTCAACGGACGACCTCTCCAGCTCGTCCAGCCCGAGATCTTGCGCTTCAAGGTACGACTACAGCATTCTCCCAACCGTTCACGAAAGCATGTCGTTCAATCATCGAATTCGACATGACGATGCTACCGGATGGTGTTGTGTCTTGTTCAGAACCAAAATACTGATACTCTTAATCTAGGTCTACGAGCCTCTCCTCGTTGTTGGCCTTGACAAGTTCGCCAACGTTGATGTGCGCGTGAGAGTCAGTGGGGGAGGCCATACCAGTCAAGTTGGTTGCTTTTTTCCGTCTCCCGTCGATATTGTCTAACCGTATATCAGATCTATGCCATCCGACAGGCCATCGCCAAGTCCCTGATCGCCTACTACCAGAAGTTCGTCGATGAGCACTCCAAGAACCTCCTCAAGCAGGCTCTTGTCCAGTTCGACCGAACCCTCCTCGTTGCCGACAACCGCCGCTGCGAGCCCAAGAAGTTCGGTGGTAAAGGTGCCCGTTCTCGCTTCCAGAAGTCTTACCGTTAAACGGTTCAAGATGTTTGTCGGAATGGGGCAAAAAAGCGTCGAGCCGGAGCGTTGGTGCAGTGGAGGATACTATGGGCAGTGCGAAAAAGGGACTGGAGTCACAATTTCCCTGGTTTGGGAATGGGTTTCCCATTAGCATTTGCATGGTCTTGCTTTTGGCGGATTGTAAAGGATCTGGCAGGCAAATGAAATCTTCAACGTTAACGACGCGGTCCATGCTGCTACGCACTGTGATGTTAATGAATTGTCTCTTCGCTGGACTCGCTCCGATACTCAGTCCCCATCTTTCATATGTGACGACACCTGTTTTTCAGTTTTGACCAAAGCATGCAAAATTAACGTCACTGGGCTTCTTGTTTCCGTCGAGCCAAGGCAGTCCAGCAGAGAAAATGCAATACGCAAGCCCTGTCAAGTAGATTTGAGCATCACCTACCGATTGGATTGTTGACCGTGCTTCAAAACCACTACCCTACTTTCGCTATCATACTCAACTTGGATTTGACCAATAGGTTCAATATGTTGATATAGAAGTCAATTGCTTATTACTATGTTGCTGTTACGGGAATAAATCCCAACTCCTAACTCCAGCTTTGTAAACTCAATCGTTTCACCAATCCAACTGCATGCCGATGCTAAGCTACTCCTTACACACAAGGTAACGCATAGTGCTCTGGCTATTCTTTCGCATCTGTCTGAAACCCTTTACTCTTGCCGCCCCCGCTACTCTCCCCTAATGTTTGGAAGCATGAAGTATTCTCATGAAATAGCATATCTAGTCGTTCCACGAGACAAGATCGCGTTGCCGTCCAGACTCATCCAGGTCAACAATCTCTGGTGCCCACTCTCCACGCTCATCTTCGGCTGCCAAGTCCGCAACCTCCAGCTCCACTTCCTCGCCATCTTCCATCATAACTTTGCCTCGACGCAGATAGTCTCCGCGAAGATCCCAGTCCAGTGTCCCAGTCACAACAGCTTCAAGCCCAGCAAAAGCTGTAGCGACAGCCAATTGCTCAGATGTGGCATTGTTCCCCAAGCCTTGCAAAAGTTCGTCCAAGCGACGTTTGTAGACAGTGAGTGAGAGTCGAAGATCCTTGGTTTGTGACTCTGCGGTATCGAGAATCGACCCCTCAAGCCAGGAGGCGCTATACGTCAGTTGGGCCGTCAAGGTGCGAATGAATGCGGCCGCAAGAGATGGTCGACTGAGGGGAAGGAGATGAGCACGTAAGAAAATCTTCAGCAACATATGCCACCATTGTTGAATACATGAATCGTTGCCAAGGTGGACGCCTACAACAAAAGAGAACTGGAATTCGCCGATAACGTCATCAGGGCTCAGATCATTATCAGAAGCATCAACCTGTGACAAGATATAAGGAGTTGCATCCGTGGCTCTTAAAGTCCGATCGGCTCCGGTATTGTCTGTTGAGTACGTTTTGGTCAGTTGGCTGAAGGCGAAATTGAGCTCGCGAGCCTTGAGCAACGGATTCGATATTGAGTTGTCAAGTTCCATCTCGCCAGCCATGAGTATCGACCCCTTGACACGATCCCCGGTATGTACCATCCAGTTGTCGTAGTTCTGTCCAGTCACTCGATTGAGGAGGCTCTCCGTGACCTTGCCAGTCAACTGCTCCCACATGTTGAGATTTTTGTGTGAGATAGCCTGAGTAAGTTCACCATTGGCGACATTGACTGCACTTGGATCTTGGTAAGGGACAAGCTTTGAGTGAATAGTGTCGAGGTTATCAGCTTGGATGCGGGCTTCAGCACGAGCAGAGTCACCCAAAACCTCATTGTATCGATCCCATTGCATAACATGGACAGTGTCAACACTGTTCGTGACGACCCAGAAACCACAACGAGCGGAAAGGCCCCCTGGATGAGCGACCCAGAAGAAGTGAGCACCTGGTGGTATATCCCTGACACCGCCAAAGTGCTTAGCTGTGAATGATATGGAATCGTACCCAACTGTGAAGACTTCGGGCAAGTCCAATATGAGCACCACGTCGCCGCCTCCCAGGTTGTGTGTCAAGGGTTCCCTGCTTGGACTGTGGAAGGAGTTTGAAGATCCATGTTGAGAGGTCTTGGTCACAGCATTCTCATTCTGTCCGGAGGGAGGATCCAGAGGTGGAGGGCCATCGTCATCTTCTTGCTCATGAGGCGTCTCGTTGACTTGATGGACATGAAGAGTGCCCAGAGGATGTGTGCCTAGTACTGATACAGACTTTGCTGAACCACCGCCGAAAGATGCGCTGGAGTTCGATTTCGTCAGACCCTTGGGTCGAGACGGAATGGGCGGGAGATCTCCCTCCATTTTGACAAGGCGGCAATGGGATCTTCCTGGAGCCAGCGACGGAAACTAATTATCTTGAATATTCGAAAAATGTTACTCCAATTTCGATGTTGAGTTTTCCGAGGTGACGAGTATTGGTACGAGATATGATGGTATGTAGTGCTGAGGCTGATATCGTTACCTATGCGCCGCAGAACATTGGTGGATGGCGGGGTAGCAAAAAAAAGCAGGCAGCCCAGGTAAATGATAGAAACCTTATTAGATGTGATACAATGCTAGATACCTTTAGGTACTTTACCTAAACTTAGTAGAGCTTTAGGATACTCTTCTAAATTCAGCAAAGGTTCCAGATTTCTTATTTGGCGATTTCTTTGCGAGTTTGACTTCACGTTTCTCTTCGTATCCAGGACTTTCTTTGACCGCGTGGCACGGCCTATGCACGACAGCACGTCATCGGCAAAAGGCACGAAGGAGTCCTGAATGACGCTGAGACAACGAGATCAAGGAAATTAATGTTTTAATCGGAGACAGCTCATTTATCGAAAAACGCAGTTGTGACCCAAATTTACCGCTAAGATGATACATAAACTTGGCTGTGAGGTGGTGACTGATTACCTTATCCTACTTTTTTCGTCAATACCATAAGCATCATTTCAGCCAGGCGAAAAAGAAATCATTTGGCCACAGGGACCAGTATTCAGTTTTAGGTTAATACAGTACTTGAATATCTTCACGAGCAAAAAAATGCTTTTAAATCTTCTAAGCAACTCTGTATCATGTGAATCCTGCGAGTATCATGCCACCCCCTCAAGTCTTGAAGTCATGGATATCTCAAACTTCAGCACTACCTTGTGAATGAGGAGGAAAGCATTCGGCCAAAAATCGGTCCTACAAGTGAACTGAGTTGATGCATCCCCTGAGCAAAAGCACGTTTAGATTTCTGGCTGCCTCGTGTTCGTCCCGAGCCGCATCCCCACAAGCCTCCAAATTTGATGTTTAACGGTTATTTGGTCCACTGCTGTACTCTCTTGATTGTCTATTGCGAAACTGAATACACTGCAAATTTGGCGCTTTGAACTGGAGTATTGGCAATAACGCCATTCCTCATATGCTACATTGCCACTTAATCACCACCTCAATATAGTCCTACCCAAGAGTTACTAACCAACAGTCCAGAATAGCCCAGGCTTTGTATGTGAAACACAACATATGCTATATCCACGATCATATAGCCGCCAAGAGCTATCCCTTTAGCTGTAATCCCAAAACTTGATGGGTTTGTTCCTCCACCGCACGCCCTGTTTCGACATCGCATCCTTCCTGGCTCCCTGCAACGTCACCACACATTAACCGCAACGAGGTAGAGCCCTGCTATGGATCGATGCTAAAGCAAACACTGCCACTATCATGAATCCCGTAAGTGCCGGTCAAGGATGCTTTGCGTGCGTCCGTGTGCGGCGTAAGTTTATTGCCATGCAGAGCTTGTGCATCAACCCTGGCTCAAACTCGGGATGGCCGATAGTCGTATTGCTGGGCTTTATCTACTGAAAGAGACACCTTGGTTATTACATATAGGTTCCTTGAAACAGACAAGATATTCTTCTACAACAGAGTGTCATTGAGCATAGAGTATACTGGTAGACACCCTCTTGGTGGCCTATGATGGCGTTGAGAGGGAGATCGTCCCACAAATCTACGATCAAACATGAAAGCAATTTAATCATAGGTCACAATTACACGTTTAGACTGTATCGGAAAATTAGAAACTGTACTCCTGGTTATTAATTTGCGGTTAGACTGACATATGCAGTCAACTTCAATATATATCCATGTAGTTCAATTTAACCGTGTGCTCCGTAACCTCAGCCTTGTCTGTGACACAACAGCTAAATCACCATGTAATACCATTGAACTTCAAGACAAACCGTCAAGTAGTCTCGTACCACGTACCTGAATCCATCATACTTCACACCCGTCTCAGACTCTAAATCCCCGCGCCGTTGAGAAAGTATAAAATACGTATTCAACGGCCAGCCATTGCCGCTCAGACGTGTAAACCTTGACTTGACGTCCCGAGACAAAGGAACTAACAAAGACCAGCCTAGACAAAGTTCTACACCATGCGAAATTTAGTTTGATGGGGTACAGATACACCGACACGAAACAATTCCAGACCCCAACAAAGGGGCCCATGTCTTGTCTCTCCTCTTGTCTCGTCTTGTCTTGTCTTGTGTTACCTGACATTTCACTTTGCTGGGCTTGCAAGAAGTAACGTCAGTAGGTGCTAAAAGACGAGCGGCTAAATTCTCCTAGCGCCGCGTGGTCACCCCTTGTTCATCCGCAACGGCATCAGTCACACACACTCTTTGGGGTCCTTTGGCTGCACGCTACGCACGCACTTTTCTCGCCTTGTTTCGCTTCGCTTTGGCCTTGGTATAAGTTAGTTGGTTCGCTTTTATGTTCTAGTTGGAATTTTCCCTTGCTAGGCCTTTTGCACGCGCTGCTGTACACGCCCCCCTTGTTTACTTTAGTCCCTTTCTCGATGAGACGTTACAGTTCCGTAGCTTATCTGCATCCAACTGTGGTCTACAAGGCTGCGAATATCATGTCCAGATGCGCCACAGAATGGTGTTCCTTAAAGAGGACTGACTCATTACCTTTCGGTCGACAGAATTTATTGAGTAATTCTCTCCTGACTCGAGTTACATCA